TATGGCCTAGTCTCGAGGGTTCTCCCATGGCGGTATTAACTTTGCCATTAGAGACTTGCACCTGTGTTCTATAGAGTAAACAACACTTCTTGCCATTTGCTATGACAAGATATTCCTTTGTCAGTGTCAAATGTCCCTTACTGAACACTGAGAGGTACTCTTCATCATCTAAACACCCTCCTGAGATGAGGTTTAAACGGATATATGACATCCTTTTGCACCAGCTTCATCCCAATATCAGTGTTGATGTGTACATCTCCCTTACCCACAATCTTTGAGGAACCACTGTTCCCTATATTTACAGAGCCAAATTCTCCTGCTCTGTAAGTAAAATATCGTCTACGTGGGGTAACATGAAATGATGCTATGATATCTACAACCTAAACAAAGTTTCATGATCATGGTACAATATTTATGCACTCGTCGCCACAGTTTCCGACCACACCAATATTTGTGGTCAATGCAGTGGTTTGCCTGCCTTCATCATTGGCATAGTCCTCATTCCCCTCTTTCTTGAGCTTTCAATACTCTTTCTTGATGTGCCCATTCTTGCCACAATGAAAACATGTGAGCCCCTTTCTTCTCGTCTCCTCATTCATCAGGCTGCTAGTGACCTGACTCATGGTCACTATCCCATCAGGTGTTGAGTTACTCACGAAGGCTACTAAGGTCTTACAACTATCTGGTAGTGGACTGAGCAAAAACAGAACTTGTAGTTAGTCTTCCAGGAACAACTTCATCGTTGCGAGTTGGTTACCAATGCTTTTCACCTCATTCGGGTGCTCTGCAACAGATACCCCATACCTGAACTTCATCCTCACCAATTTCCAAATTAAGAACGCCTTATTGCCAATGGTTTTTCTCTCGTACAAGTCATGTAGCTTATCCCACAACGACTTGGAAAATGTTTCCGTCGACACATGGTGGAAAATAATTTCTTCCAACCATAGTTCTGAGAGCCTTCCGATCCAACTTCATCCACTCATCGTCTATCATACCTTTGGGCTTGTGTTCCACCCTTTCAATGGGTGTGTACAACTCCTTACAATGTAGAAGATCTTCCATCTTCAGATTCCAGATGATCCAATTATTCCCGTTGAGTGATATCATCCTTCTCCTGGTACTGGAATCCATCTTTAATCCACACACATTATCTTCCACACCCTCTCTTCTATGCACTAGAAGACAAGGAGATTTACCATCTGTCAAGTTCCCACCATCGATTAATGATTCATTGGCAGTCAAGGATCTATTGGACACCAACTCATCCACAGTCAAGCTCCCACAGGTTGTCAACTCGTCAGTGGTCTTTTAACCGTCGGCAGTCAAGGATCTGTTGGATGCCAACTCATCCACGGTCAAGCTCCCACCGGTTGTCAACTTGTCGATGGTCTTTTATCCGTCGGCAGTCAAGTATCCGTCGATAGTTAAGTATCCATTGATAATCATGTATCCATCAGTGGTCAAGCTCACCAACTGTCAAGGGGACACTGTTAGTCAATATGTTACCGACGATCAAAGGGATTCACTGTTGGTCGAGGTGGCGATCGACAGTCCATTGATCAAGACCTCCTTTGCACAGCGGCCACTCACTGATAGTCTCTGACTGATGATGTGTCCTAAAATGCTCCGTTCAACAGTCAAACAAGATCTAACCCACAAGGAGATTTTCTTCCTTACTTGTCCTACGAACGCTAGGCTCGCTACACCGATAAAAGGTGATAGGGATGACCAAGCGATGTATCGGAGTCGAGAGAAACTTGCTCTGATACCACTTGTTGGGCTCGCCCAATCGAACCCTCTTGCACGAATGCGGATGTGCACAACGGGACACAAAATACACTAAAAATGATGTGCATATGTCTATGAATGGAATTCATGAACTAAAGGAAATAAAATATATAATAACTTACTGGCACCAAGATTTACGTGGTTCATCTTTTCAGGCTACGTCTACGGGAGAGAGATCAGATCCACTATTAAAAATAATGGTCACAAAGTTCTTCCAAGAAGCAAGCTTTTTGTGGGTTTATTGTAGTGCCTCTTAGTAAATCTGATTGGAATTTCTTGTAAGAGAAAAGGAGGCACTTGTCTAATCCTAAGAGAGAGAAACTCAAACCGTAACTAATCTAACCTATTGCCAATGTACACTAAAACTAAGCTAGAAAATGTTTCCAAATCAATTCCCTCCTGGCCTAATTACTATCAAGCTCTTGGATCAAACCCCCTTCACAAAGCATATTGGCCTAGGTGAAATGTAAGGAGACACTGCCATCCCAAGCTCATAAAGTCAAGAATTATACCCCTTGCCTTAGGCGTACTACTGTTATCTCTACACTTCCTTCCTTCCATTGATATTTTGAAGTAAAATTGGGAATCTTGCTGGTAAGATGCTAGACGTGGAGAGCATTGATTATTAAATGCATATAATATATTTTGTTAGACAGGTGGAGAGCATTGATTATTAAACACACACACACACACACACACACACACACACACACACACACACACACACACACACATATATATATATATATATATAGTAGTGTTGTTATAGTAGTACGTAACCTAAACTAACTAACTAACCTAAGTAACGTCTACACTAACTAATTACTACATAATAGTAGTAA